CGCGATTTCCATCAGCTTTACGAACTGCCGGTGTATTGAATCAGCTTCTTTCTTCCTCCCTTATTCCAAAATTCAAGACATTTATGCCGAAGCCCACAAAAATGGGTGTCGGTTGCGTACTTGGGCATTTAGAGAACTCGCTGCCGTCGTCATACGAGGCGGGGCGGATGTAGCGGGCGGTCCAAGGTGCAGCGGAGAACAGACCCTTGTCAGCAAACATGCTTGGAACCACTGATTGGTTCAAAATTGGGAAAGGAATCCGGCAAGGCTGTATTCTATCGCCCTGCCTATTTAACTTACAGTATATGCAGAGCACATCGTGGGAAAGGCAGGGCTAGATGAATCAAAAGTTGGAATTAAGATTGCCGGGAGAAATATCAACAACCTAAGATATGCAGATGACACCACTCTAATGGCAGAAAGTGAAGAGGAACTAAAGAGCCTCTTGATGCAGGTGAAGAAGGAGAGTGCAAAAGTTGGCTTGAAACTTTCATCCATTTCTCTCTCTCTCTCTCCCCCCTTCTCTTTACTACCTACCTCATCTATCCATCTATCGCTCCCTCCCTCCCTATCTATCTATCTATCTATCTATCTATCTATCTATCATCTATCCGTCTATCTATCCTTCTATATCTCTCTGTCTGTCTATCTATATCTATCTATCTATCTATCTATCTATCTATCTATCTATCTATGTCTGTGTCTATCTATCTATCATCTATCTATGTCTCTCATCTATCTATCTATCTATCTATCTATCTATCTATCTATCTATCTATCTCTATCTATCTATCTATCTATCTCTATCATCTGTGTCTCTCTGTCTGTCTCTGTCTCTCTCTCTATCATCTATCCATCCTTCTATATCTGTCTGTCTATCTGTCTATATCCTCTCTCTCTCTCTCTCTCTCTCTCTATCTATCTATCTATATCATCTATCTATGTCTGTCTATCTATCATCTATCCATCCATCTATCCTTCTATGTCTCTGTCTGTCTGTCTATCTATATCTATCTGTCTGTCTGTCTATCTATCTCTATCGTCTGTCTGTCTGTCTGTCTCTGTCTGTCTATCTATCTATCTATCTATCTATCTATCTATCTATCTATCTATCTATCTATCTATCTATCTATCTATCTATCTATCTATCTATCCCCTCTCTCTCTCCATCTAATTATCTATCTGCCACCTACCTATAACATTTTCTTACCAGATTCTTCGGTGTCTTCAACAATAGGAGAACTTATAATTCATTGCCTTCACTGCAAAAGTTGAGATATCTTCAGGGGTGTATCTGCCTTGAAAGTAGCCCATGTTCAACTGTATAGCAAGTCAAATATCAGCATAGGAGACGTGTGAGTTTTTTTATTGTCATAAAGTGTGATAATTTTATGCCATAAAAGGTTTTATAAAACGGGCCAAATTTTAATCCCATAGGAGCAAGGGTCACAGATTTTGGATGCACTCTGTAAGTTAGCTGATATGAAGTATCTTGGTTCAAAAACTGTTGCTCCGTTTCGCCCAGTTAAAAGGTTAGAGGAACGAGGGTTTCCGTAGAGAGACATACAGATGTTAAGTCGGAGGGGATGGAACTGTTGAAATATTGATGGAATATAATAAAAAGAACATTTTCCATTAGGCCAGATGATGAAAGTGCCATCAATGAATCTCAGTCAAGGAGCTGTTTCGGGGGAACAGCTAAGAAATTGTTGTTCTAGGTCAGTGTTTCTCAACCTAGCACCTTTACAATGGACTTCAACTCCCAGAATTCCCAAGCCTGTGATTTGGAGTCACAGGAAGCGTCCGACAGCTCCGCCTGCTCCAAGGCCCGGCAGACAAGGGTAGCCTTCTAGCCTCACTCACCTGCCCAGGGAGAGGGACCTGGGACAGGAGAACATTTTTGCTGCTCATGGTAATTTGGGTAGCCAGGATCAACTCAAGTCTTCTCATTCACAGCCCATTCCAGCCGGGGCCAAGTGCTTCATCCCAGAATCCAACTAAGTACAAGGAAAAGAGCTTCCGTCACAAAGGCAGGACAAGAAGCAACGGATGGAAATTAATCAAGGAGAGAAGCAACCTAGAACTAAGGAGGAATTAATAGCACAGTTAACCAGCGGAACAGAAGTTGCCTCCAGAAGTTGTGGGTGCTCCATCCCTGGAGGTTTTCAAGAAGAGACTGGACAGCCATTTGTCTAAAACATCGTAGGTCTCCGGCTTGAGCAGGGGGTTGGACTAGAAGACCTCCAAGGTCCCTTCCAATCCTACTATTCTCTTGTTCCGGGACGGCCTTCCATCGCTGAGGGAGTGGCTGCCTCAGAAAAAGCTCCACTCACAAACTGAGCTTTTTTGTGTTGGTGGGCACAAAGTTTTCAGAAAGGGGGGGGGGGTTAAGGTTTTTAAGAAGAGGCTAGACAGTCACTTGTCTGAGATGGTATAGGTTCTCCTGCTTAAGCAGGGGGCTGGACTAGAAGACCTCCAAGGTCCCTTCCAGCTCTATTTTATTCTAGGGGGGACATGATAGCAGTCTTCCAGTATCTCAGGGGCTGCCCCAAAGAAGAGGGAGTCAAGCTATTTTCCAAAGCGCCTGAAGGCAGGACAAGAAGCAACGGATGGAAACTCATCAAGGAGAGAAGCAACCTAGAATAAGGAGAAACTTCCTGAGAGTTAGAACAATTAACCAGCGGAACCACCTGCCTCCAGAAGCGGCGAATGCTCCAACACTGGAAGTTTTTAAGAAGAGACTGGACAGCCATTTGTCTGAAATGGTGTAGGGCAGTGATGGCGAACCTTTTAGGGACCGAGTGCCCAAACTGCAACCCAAAACCCACTAATGCATCATCGGGTGCCAGGTGGGTGTGGCCCATTGGGTGGGTGTGGCCAATTGAATGGGCATGTCCCATTGGGTGGGCGTGGCTGCGGTGGTAACGGCAGACTGGGTGGGACTAAAAAGTTCAATCAATCAATTCCAACTTTGCGAGATCTTTTTTTTTTTCCCGCGAGAAATTGAAATTGACTGATTGAACCTTTTTTTTTTTTTCCACACGGCGGCGGAGGCCTAAAGCAAAAAGGTTTTATAAAACCCAGCTGAAGGCCCAGGATTGGGGCGACGGCGTGCGTGCCCACAGAGAGGGCTCTGAGTGCCGTCTCTGACACCCGTGCCATAGGTTCGCCACCACTGGTATAGGGTCTCCTGCCTGAGCGGGGGGTTGGACTAGATGACCTCCAAGGTCCCTTCCAATTCTGTGATTCCATTATATTCTGCTGCAGGTAAAAGGGGGACCCCTCCGGAAACAAACGAAAGCCACCAGTGGGAATCTCCTGTTGCTTTGTCACTGCTGTGTGAAGACAATGGATGGGACGTGCCTCTGCTTGGAACGGCAGCACCAACACCGTCTCCGGCTGGGAGGATAACGGCCCATAAATTCTCGAACGCTCTCCGCAGGTTGGGAAGTGGCTCTTCTGAGCAAGCGCCACATCTACCACGGCGTCGCCCACAGCGGTTGAATTCATCACCAAACAGCCAGGAAGATTTTAAAGATGTTATGCCTGCACCCTCCCGTTTCCTTCGGCAGTTCCCATTTATCCACAAATCACAGCCTCTCTCTCCAAGGTTGCAGGGTCTGCACGGGAGACGTGAAAACCCTGTTCTAACCCTCTTTAAGTAATGAAGAGCTCTTGACTTTCTGGAGAGGACCCCAGGGACGCATCAGACTACTTTAGCAAGGCCTTGTTTCTCTCTCTTCTTCTTCTTCTCACGGAGATAGAAGAACCGCAACTCCTGACATTTCTTTTTACGCACACTGACATTGCGACAACTTTGTCCTCGCCTCCTTTTCCCAAAGCCGGCGGCCTCTGGATTTTGCAGTCAATCTCACCCTTGGGTTGACACCGCCGACAACTGGCAAGCAACTGAGATCACTCTCACCAGCGTACAGAGATGGAGCCGATTCCAAAATAAGACATTATTTTAGAAATACAGAAGCATGGAAAACTGAGGGCAGAAAAAGACTTAGTGGACCGTGGAGTCCGCTCTTTGAGGTTTTCTTTTGCTTTTGCTTTCTTTTTCATTTGTTATTTTTAAAATGATGGCTTTTATTTTTTGTCGAAGTAACTCAGTTACTGATGGTGGACCCACTACCTCTGCCGGAAGCTGGCGCGAAGCTTTCACTGCTCTTTCTGTGATCCTTTCTAATGTGGCTTTTGAACGTCCCTTCTGTCAGTTTGAGGCGATGTTCTTGATTTTTTTTTGCTGAATACTTGAAAATGCCGCCTTCTGGAACCTTGTTCACACCCTTAATGTATTTAAAGGTTTCAATCTTGTCACCCATTTCCCTTCTGTTTCCTGGGCTGTGCACATTCGGTTCCTCCAATCTCTCCTGTTATGTCTCGTCCCTCAGGCCTTGCACCGTTTTGCTTGCCCGTCTCTGGATTTGCTCAATCTTATCAATATTTTTTTTTAAATACCCAGAACTGATTTTGGAGCGGAAAGACCGACAACAACAGCAGGTCTGGTTGTATCTATAACAGCTGGAATGCCTTCGGGTCCAGATGTTGGTATAGTATCAGCACAAAAGAAATGGGGAAGTCCAGAAGACTCTATTTGGCAGGGTATAGGCCAGGGGTGGGGATCCTGGGCTCTTTTATGACTCGTGGACTTCAACTCCCAGAATTCCTGAGCCAACATGGCTCAGTATGGAAACCTCTCCCTTTCCCCTCAGCATGGCTGGCTCGGGAATTCTGGGAGTTGAAGTCCACGAGTCATAAAAGGGCCAAGTTTGAAGACCCCTGATTTAGCCGATAGCCTAGGCTAGGGATGGGGAACCTTGACTCTTTTATGACTCGTGGATTTTAACTCCCAGAATTCCTCAGCCAGCATGAGGGAAACTTTGGCCTCTTCATGACTCGTGGACTTCAACTCCCAGAATTCCTCAGCCAGCATGAGGGAAACTTTGGCCCCTTCATGACTCGTGGACTTCAACTCCCAGAATTCCTGAGCTATCGGGGGGAACTATATGGCTCCCTCATGACTCGTGGACTTCAACTCCCAGAATTCCTGAGCCATCAGGGGGGAACTATATGGCTCCCTCATGACTCGTGGACTTCAACTCCCAGAATTCCTGAGCCATCAGGGGGGAACTATATGGCCCCTTCATGACTCGTGGACTTCAACTCCCAGAATCCCTCAGCCAACATGGCTCAGCTTGGAAACCTCTCCCTTTCCCCTCAGCATGGCTGGCTCAGGGATTCTGGGAGTTGAAGTCCACCAGTCATAAAAGAGCCCAGGTTCCCCACCCCTAGTATAGGCATAAAATATGTGTTCCTTCTCAGTCATCTCAAAGGTTGTCACAAATTAGTAAAAAATAACTTTGAGCAGGAAAGACCAGGGGGAAAAAATACAGAGAACCTGTATTCAACAACCTGAATCCACAAAGGGCTACAGAATGGACTTCTACAATCTACCTCTTTCCCAACCCAGAGTTCCCTTAGCAACTGTCTCGTTTAGCAACAGTAATTTTGGGCTCCCAATTTTGGGTTTTAAGTCGAGGACTACCCTTTATATCTGTTTGATCTAATTATCCACCATTTATAGTATAATTTATCATTCATTTATTTTCCAGTCGCCTATTATCTACCTTGGTTCCGATGTATAAATTCTCAGATCTGGGCTTCTGACTGTATTTTACAATTTACCTCACGTTTTTGGGTGCCTTCAAGCCCGTGTTTGAACATGGCATCATTTGCGTACAAAACCAGTTGCTTATATGCGGACAGTCGGTCATATAAGTGCAATAAATAAAAATAAATAAAATGCACGTAGGTTTATGTCTGGAAGCAGCCTGGCTTGACTGTCACCACAAAGCATTCCTCATAAATTTATCCGTACACTTAACAACCAACAGGACATTTTTAACTTGCTCCCTGCTCAATAGTGAATTATTTCTAAGTATTGCATCCCACAGGCTCTCCTTTCATCATAGGGAGACACAGCAGCAGTGAGAATGTTTTTTAAGTGGTCATTCCTACTGACTTTACATCAAGATAATGTAAACTTATAAATACCACAATCAATCAATTTCTCTCTCTCTCTCTCTCTCTCTCTCTCTCTCTCTCTCTCTCTCTCTCTCTCTCTCTCTCTCTCTCTCTTATTGCATTGAGCAACCAGCTTTTTATTTGATACTTTACATATTCAAGCTGATTCACTCTGTTGTAGGTTTTCTTTAAATTAAGAAACATACTAAGAAACTGTTTTTCTTAGTGTCTTCTTCTGTGTTCTGTACTCTCCCTGGCCAGCATAAAAACACACTGCTCTTCCCAAATGTTAACACCTCTTGTGATATTTTGATCAGAATTCTGCCATCCATGTACCCAGATCCTTCTGTAGGTTTTGCATTCATTTGTATAGGGCAGGGGTAGGCAACCTTGGCTCTTTTATAACTCGTGGACTTCAACTCCCAGAATTCCTGAGCCAGCATGGGAGAACTATGGCCCCTTCATGACTCATGGACTTCAACTCCCAGAATTCCTGAGCCAGCATCGGAGAACTATGGCCCCTTCATGACTCATGGACTTCAACTCCCAGAATTCCTGAGCCAGCATGGGGGAACTATGGCCCCTTCATGACTCATGGACTTCCAGAATTCCTGAGCCAGCATGGGGGAACTTTGGCCCCTTCATGACTCTGGACTTCAACTCCCAGAATTCCTGAGCCAGCATGGGGGAACTTTGGCCCCTTCATGACTCTGGACTTCAACTCCCAGAATTCCTCAGCCAGCATGGGGGAAACTTTGGCCCCTTCATGACTCGTGGACTTCAACTCCCAGAATTCCTCAGCCAGCATGGGGGAACTATGGCCCTTCATGACTCGTGGACTTCAACTCCCAGAATTCCTGAGCCAGCATGGCTCAGCTTGGAAACCTCTCCCTTTCCCCTCAGCGTGACTGGCTCAGGAATTCTGGGAGTTGGAGTCCACGAGAGGGTTGCCTACCCCTGGTTATAGGGGAACACTGCTTTCATTTCTACAGCCTCTGAAGACGATTTTCAATTGCATGTCCAACTTCTAGGGCAGGGGTCCCCGACCTTGTGCAACTTTAAGACCTGTGGACTTCAACTCCCAGAATTCCTGAGCCAGCAGGGCTCAGCTTGGAAGCTTCTCCCTTTCCCCTCAGCATGGCTGGCTGGGGAATTCTGGGAGTTGAAATCCACAGGTCTTAAAGTTGCCAAGGTCAGGGACCCCTGTTCTAGGGTATTAATATATACCATCTCATTTTGGGTTGCCCAAATACTTGGTAAGCACCCTTCTGACTTTCAGGTTCAAATAATTAATCAAACTATTTTATATATATTGTGTTTCCGAGCTAGAAAGAGAAGGCAGCGGGCTGAAAACGAATCCCCGAATCCTCACCTTTGTGGCTGACGTTTTCAAGAGTTTCATGACTTCTCCTTCGCGGGCGTAATCCAAGGGCGTGTGCCCCATTTCGTTTCTCTGCAGGGGGTTGGCACCTGAAAAAGAAGGAACGCAACTCAACATCTGGGGGAGACTTCAACAACTGTCGGCTGATGTCCTCTGAACGTGATGGCCTCCATCACCTTCATCTCTGGGATGAGCAGAGCTTGAAAGAGAGAACATCAAAAGAACGTGGAGCAGAATATCTGTGGCTCAGGGCTGAATTGCAAGGGTGGTCTCTGAGCCTGGCTATATTTTATTTGCAGACATTTCATGACCCAACTAGGGAACTTCATCAGTGTTCCATCAGAAGGGAAAGGGGTTGCTCTCTGTTGATACACAACTGGCTTGCCCTATTCATACTGGTGGGAGGATCCTTGGTAGATGATCGTTTATCGTTAGCTTGTTTCTCTGAGTTGACTGGGGTGTTATGGCTTGACTGCTGATCTACTGTTAATCTCTGCTTATCTGTTGATGGCTGGCAAATAGGTCTGGTGGCCTTTTAAACTTTGTGATGGTCTCTTTTGAACGGCATGTAGACGTTGTTTATTTCCAGGGGCCTGATGATGGCTGAAGAAGAGTCTAATCAAGAACACCCCCCCCCCCAACACGGGCAGGGCAAGCCACGCATATGTAAACAGTAACATATCAGTGCTAGAAACGAATGAGGTTTGTGTTTATATCAGGGGTCTTCAAACATGGCCCTTTGATGACTTGTGGACTTCAACTCCCAGAATTCCTTAGCCAGCATGCCTAGCTGAGGAATTCTGGGAGTTGAAGTCCAGGGAGTATTCAAACTTGGCCCTTTGATGACTTGTGGACTTCAGCTCCCAGAATTCCTCAGCCAGCGAGCCTAGCTGAGGAATTCTGGGATTGAAGTCCAGGGGTCTTCAAACATGGCCCTTTGATGACTTGTGGACTTCAACTCCCAGAATTCCTCATGCCTGGCTGAGGAATTCTAGGAGTTGAAGTCCACAAGTCATCATAGGGCCAAGTTTGAAGACCCCTGGTTTATATACAGTAGCTTGCCCAGCCAATGTAACCCCCAACTGAGGACTTATCAATTCAGACAAACAAGCCAATATTGTCAAGAATATTGACAAAGCACGCCATGTACAGAAACAGGGGGCAAACCCTATCCTCTGCTACCACTGAAGATGGTTCCTCCTGCTCCTCCTCCTCCTCCTGCTCCTCCTCCTCCTTCTAGTACTGAGAAAGGTACTTGTTGGTGCTCAGAGAGCACCACGGATCCCACCGTTCAACCTGTGAGCTGCAAATATTCTCTTCTTGGGGGGGGGGGTCTCAGAAAAGAGCATCTGTGGGCCTCCCTCCAGATGTCCCTTGGCCTCCAGAAGCTCCTTCGGCCTCTTCCCAGCACAGTCACACTGTAAGACCTGAAGTCTTCTGCGCTTCCTCCAAATGCAGCAATGGCAACTGGGCAAGCACACCAGGTCTGCTTCAAGGCCAAGATGTGTTTGATGGGCTAGGAGGTTTATGGCTCCCACTTAGTCCGTAAACATGGGCAGGGGGTCTTGTTTTCCTCTCCAAGTTCTCACCCATGGAGAAGGAACTCTTCCCAGAGAAGAACTGGGATGTAGAGAGCAGGACTCCTGCTGCCCAGACAAGGGCTGTCTGTTCTCCAGCATGCCCAGGTAGAAGGCTGGCGACAGAGGTCAGCCTGTTCTCCAAAGGCCCTTCCCTCTTTCCCTTCTCCTCCCTTGACAAAACCTTACTAAGGCCACATCTGGAACACTGCATCCAGTTTGGGTCACCACATTACCAAAAAAAAAAAGATGTTGAGACCTTGGAAGAAGGGCAGAGAAGAGCAACTAAGAGGATTAAAGGCCTGGAGATTCAAACAGATGAAGAGCGGTTGCAGGAAATGGGTTTGCCTTGCTCTACGGCCAGTGGTTCTCAACTTTTTTAATGCCGCGACCCCCAACCGGTCGTAAGTCGAGGACTACTCAACTGGTCGTAAGTCGAGGACTACTCCACTGGTGCAGCCCCGTTTGCAGAATGGGACTTTTGGTGGGCTCAGCAGGGCAGAGACAACCCGGACAATTCCTGTTGGCTTTGGAAAGCCAATAGAATTAGACTCTATTCAAGAGAGTCTATCCTATTGGCTTTCAAAAGCCAATAGAATAAAAGGGAGTAGCACAGCTAAGGAAAAGGGGGGAAAAAATGGCGGACTGCGTTGTTTGGCGACTCCCGTGAAATGGTCGTTCGACCCCAAATGGGGTCCTGACCCACAGGTTGAGAACCAATGCTCTATGGAGTAAAGAGTTGGTCTCTGACAGAAGGCCACCTGAAGAGACTGGAAGCCTTTGAAATGTGGATTGACAGGCGGCTGTTACGTAGAAGCTGGGTTGACAAGATCAGAAATGAGGAGGGGATAAGCTGCCTGGGAAAGCCCAGGGAAATCATCAAAACAATTAAAAGACAAAAATTAGAATATTTCGGACACGTGATGCGACACGCAGAAAAATACGGCCTACTCCATTTAATCCTCCAGGGAAAGACTGAAGGCAAATGAGATCCAGGCAGAAGAAGAACATCGTGGCTTCAAAATCTCAGGGACCGGTTTGGACAAAACTCAGCAGCACTTTTTCGTGCGGCTGCTGATAAAAGCAGGATTGCCAACATGATCGCCAATGTCCGATAACGGATAGGGCACAAGAAGAAGAAGAGAAAAGAAGAACTAGGGGACATGATAGCATTCTTCCAGTATTTGGGGGACTGCCCCAAAGAAGAGGGGGGTCCACCTATGCTCCAAAGCACTTGAGGGCAGGACGAGAAGCAACGGATGGAAACTCAACAAGGAGAGAAGCAACCTAGAACTAAGGAGAAACTTCCTGACAGTGAGGAGAATTAGCTAGTGGAACAGCTTGCCACCACTGGAGGCTTTTAAGAAGAGACTGGACAGCCCTTGGTCAGAAATGGTACAGGGCAGCGGTTCTCAACCTATGGGTCGCGACCCCATTTGGGGTCGAACGACCATTTTACGGGGGTCGCCAAACAACGCGATCCGCCATTTTCCCCCCTCAGGGGGCGCCGCCGCGCATGCGCGCCGTGCATGGGGGCAGCGCCACGCCTGCGCGGCGCGTCCGTGTGACGGGGGTCGCCGTCACACAAACGTTGAGAAACGCTGGTGTAGGGTCTCCTGCTTGAGCAGGCAGATGGACTAGAAGACCTCCCAGGGCCCTTCTGGGTCTGTTATTCTGTTAAGCCCCCGTCCCCCCAGGAAGGAGGGGAAGGGCCGTTTTCCTCCGTCGCCATCCAGACGAGCAACAGGTCCCAAGGGGGTGCCATGCTTTTGCAAGAAGATGGGGTACACACCACAGCCTTTGTCCGAACGGGGTCTCTGCCTGCTTCTCCCCTAAAGCCCTGGATGAGCCTGAGACGGCGGCATGAAAGAAGAAAGGCCGAGAGACCCAAACTAGCTCTTTCCGAGACCCTCCCATCTTTACTTGCTTACGGCAGGGCTTTTCAACCAGGGGTAGGGGTACCACCTGTGGTCCATTGGCACCTGGCAGGGGGTACGCGACCATCCTAGAAAAGTGCTAGCAGGGGAGGGGAATGAGCTGAACCAGGGGCAGCACCACACAAGCCTGAGCGAGAGACGGCTGGAGCTGCAGGGCTGTCGGGGCTCAGCGGAAGCGTCAGGATCAGTGCCGCTTTCCAGCTGATCAGTGCTTCTTCGGGACTGTCCGGGCTAGTGGAAGTGCCAGGATCAGCGCCAGGATCCAGCTGGAGCTCGGTGCTGATCCTGGTGCTTCTGCTGAGCCCAGAAGAAGCGCCGATCAGCTGGAATGTTGCAGCCTCTCCAGGGTCTTGTGATTTACATTCAGATGCTTGGCCACTGATTCATATTTATGACGGTCAGTGTCCCAGGGTCATGTGAAGGGACCAAAACCTGCTGCAACCACCCAGCAGATGGGGGGGGATAAAAACCAAACACCCCCCCACCCCACCCCTGCTGCCAATCCTCAACAGAAATGCTCACAACAATGGAAACCTCGGACAGGAGGAAGAGCGCGGCCGGGCGGGCAGGCAGGGGTCTTGCTCGGCTGTGGCTCGGGGGGCAATTTTTTCAGTGCCATTGTCACTTCGAACAGTCACTAAGCGAACTGTTGTAAGTCGAGGACTACCTGTACTTTATCACTTTTTTCCTTTTTTTTGGGTCATCGAGTTTTTTACACTTGTTAGGCGACGGGTGATACTCAGATGTTGCCATATCCTAAAAGTGGCACAAGGGGTGAAAAGGTTGAAAAGCCCAGGCTTACGGGATGAAAAATGCGTTCCATAAAGCTTCCGACGCGGAGTTCATTTGGGCGGTGGGTCCTCGTCTCCCCTCACGAAGGCAGTCCAAACAGGGGACGTTTATCTACGGCCTGCCGGGACAAGCCGCTCAATAACCTTTTCAAGGGACGCCGGAAAGTTTTCGGGGGGCTGGAGGCCGACCAGCCTGGAGGCTACCTTCCCCTTGGAAGATCTGGATTTCCTGCTTGTCAATCTATTAATAACGGCTCACCAATATTGCTCTAATTCCCCTGTTAATGGCGTTGACGACTTGACTAATTGCCGCAATAATTGATAGACCCACCAGACTCGGGTTGCCGGTCGATCTCGGTCCGCCGATACCCATGGCAATAAAATATTATGCTTTCATAAATAACTTGCCAGCCCGCCCGCCGGCCGTAGAGAGGGCTGCTGGCTGTCCTAAGAGTCGTGCCCTGACCCCGGCCCCCTTCTGCAACGGGGGGGGGAGTTGTCCCCCCCTTCCCAGCAGCAGCAAGTGCCTGTCCTGGATACAGCCGGGCCCCCGCCCGCTGAGGGGGGCTTCAGCCTTTTGGCAATGGGGATGGGATGTCATTTGTCACCTCCCACTAGCTGTCGCTGGCTGAGCATCAACACCTGGGCAACGCGGGGGGGGGGAGGGGGGGGCTGGCTCTGCAGGACACTGGGATGCCCCCTCCCCAAATCCTGGCTCCTGTGAGTGGGCCCCGACTTATAATATTTGATAGATGGCAGGCTGGCTCACCCCCAGCGTCAGCCA